ANAGTGTATTTGATAGGATACGGCAGTGAGTGCCGTGCTGTGTGTACAATGAACGGAAGCTGGGAGCAGTATGTGCGCCTTATAAATTCAAGGACACACACTTAAACAAAATGTACAACAACTTCATAGTGAATGTACAAGCTGTAAAAATTAACAGGATAAATACAAATAGTATCAAAAACTATTTACAAAATAAGTTTGTCATGCCATCTCCACAGTCCTAATAACAATCATAACAATTATCATAAAAAACCTTCAATTTATATACTTCCAGAGTAAAATTTCTTCAATACCAAACCAAGTAAACATCCAATGTCAAAATAATAAACAAATCAGATCAAAGTCTGAGGAAAATGAATAAATTCAAAACCCAGTAAAATAATGATATTGAAGATAACAGTTAATAGTCAAGGACATATGTTAAGCTCCCCCTGTAACAATAAAAGATTATTAAAATAGGTTCGGTATAGTACCGATAAACTAAACATAATTACAAAAATAAATACAGATACAATCTTTGATTACAAAAACACTTGTACGGTTGATATCGTAACCCCAACTAGTAAAATGTTGAGAATATAAATCGATTATGTGTTGAAGAAAAGTAGTCCTTGAAACTCAAGATTAATGTTCTGTCCAAAAACTAATCATATTTGCTCAAAATGGAGCAGTTAACAATATGATACTAATCATACATGAAATGAAAGAAACATAGAAATGATTACCTGTCTGGAACCACTCACGTTTCCAACAAATAGGAAATAAAGTTTCTATTTCTCAAGGATAAATCCAGTTAGTCAAATTAAACGCGAGTGATGAAGAATATGGTCATTTAATATGATAGCTGCCAAACCGTCATTTTAATTAAAAAACAACGAAAATTTATTCAAACCACTGCAACGTCAAGAAGTTGGATACATTTCAGAATCTGTAGACAATAGTTTGAAATAAACCGAGGGATTTACATGATATATCATTATAACATGTAATATAATAAGCGTCGCATGCAAGGAGAAGTTTACACATTCATATGAGCATATGAATGCCAGAAGAACTTTGCAATATATCTATGTCTAGTAAATTAATAGGCTAAATTGTAGGTACATATTCTAGGAATTTTAAACTATGATCCGAACCAAAGTATTCGTTAATCCCAGTGTTATTGATCAAATTATGGTAACATTCTTTGTAGCTCATTAGCCCTTTGTAGGAATGAACATCGTTTACAGGCAATAATATTCGTTTGAGAAGGTGAAATACTTCTCTCTGAGTATGGCTTAGGATTAAACTTTTACAAAAGACATTTGTCACAGTTGTAGCACTGACCACTATCATTTGGTACCTAGAATAAATTTCATACAACTTTTATACTAACTGCTAACGTTTACTCGGGATGCAATCTTGTTAGTAACACTTGCACTCTACAATCGCATACATAGTAAAAATTGATAATTATCTCCGGTACTTAATGGTTAAATTTGTAGGTCTTAAAATTAACAACAATAGCAAATATGATCGATACTTCTTTCACTTAGGCTCCCGACTATCGTTAAAACAACTACGATACACATATACACTAGTCAGGGAGCTTGATATGAACAGATTTTACCGAAATGGATATATATTTGACGGAAAAAGTAATTCTAGTAAAAACAGACAAAACCAATAGTCTCAACACTGAAACTATTGATACTGAAACAAAGTAATTAAGTTTTAAACTATTGCTAATTATTCACACAATATAAAATTGTCTACATCGTGAATATAATCCACCCATCATCAAAATTTAAAAGAGTTAGCTAGAGTTTCATGCTAAGATTATCTGTTCAGTCGTTTCATATTTCGCGGTAGTTTACAATATTAAAATTATGACTTAACACCCTTAGTTGTACAAAACAGATTCACTCATTAACATTTTTTGAACTTTTCTCCTATTTCGTTCATCTTTGATCACAATGCTAGGTGGATTTTATAAAGCTTATTGTTATAACCTTACCTTGTGATCTGTCTCATATAAATGGAGTAACAACTATCCACCAATGAAATTCTAAGTATTTTCACATAATGTGAATGTGATTACGATCATTGTGAGTGTCCATTGTGTGCGTGAAATGTTTAATCAACCAATATGAATATGCAAATAAGCTACATCACTTACAAGTATCATATTAAACCACTAATTAAAGGCTAAAGCTGATAACAGGATTATCAACACTTCTTCACTTTCATATCGCGAGTTTTATAAATTTACCATAGAACTATTAAGAATCAATAATAAAATGACATCTTCATCGATGTCACTGTTTTCTTTAACTTATCTTGGACATTCTATTATTCAAAAATCAAATGATTGTGAACTGGAAACAATCTATGAATTGTTGATTGATTATTATTTACAATTTCTTCGACAAGTATCGTCCTTGAAACTGACTACATTATCTGCACCTTCAACTAATGATAAGACTGCTTATAAATCAATAATGCTAGATAATTATGACAGTGTAATATTAGCTATTGGCAATGGTCACTTTCTTATCAAATCACTAGATTGCAAAGGCAATAAGAGAAAAGATGACAGACCGAAAAATTCATCCGTAATACCGTCGTCATCATCATCATCATCATCATTACAAATGGATGAAGATTTTTCAGTGTCTGAATTGATCTATTTCAATTGTTACTACTTTGAAGTTGTAACACCAGTTGGAAGTAATCTTAGCCATAAAAATGTTCACACTAGTAATAATAACAAGAATTCTGACCCTTGTTACGCTTATTTTCGACGAATTATTGACACACGTCGTTGTATACCTGAGGATGCATTAATTAAGTTAGATAACCAAATAGCAAGTTGGTTATTACGTTACCGTTCAGTAATACGTCCACCTTTGATTTATTTTATGGTCCCACGTTTATCATCAAATGGCGAAAATTGTTTAACTTGTTATGTATTTCTTGCGGAAAATATACAAATTGGACTGAATATTTTACGCTGCCTTTCAGAATTGCGGAAATCGTCTCCTCAGACAAACATTTTACCAAGAACATTATGTAAATGTGGTGCTATAAAACCAATTCAGACTGAAGTAACTCATTACCAGTCAAAAAAGATAAATGATAGATTTATTACAAATAATTATGAAAATTCCCAAGCGGATTATTCAAATGTTGCAAGACCAAAACATTGCGAATGCTGTCAACATAACTTAAAGTGTAAAGGATCTCCTTTATTATCAGAACGAGCAACTAGATCACATATTGACCTTATACAACGATTAAATTGTCCATCTACATCAGAACCATCTGTGAATATGAAATGTTCACTGTGCAATGTAAACTATCATCCACTTCATTCGAATCTATGTGAAAAGCATCGATCAAGGTTAATTCAAATGAAGCTGGGGAATGAAGCAATGGATTACTATTATAATAACCATTCGCGGCATCAACAAAAACGTATCAATAATTCTGACATGTTGAAATCAAATAACCGTAGAAGAGATCACTCAGTTCCAACACTGTTAGAAAGTCGGCTGAATCATATGAATATTGATTCATGCAGTCAAGTATGCCCATTTTGTCAAGTTAATGCTAGTAATGATTTTAACACTCGTGAACATACTGGAAGATCGTGTTGTCGATATAAAATTAATGAGCAAACAAGATCAAGTAACAGAAATCGTCAGTCTTCTTCAGCTTCACGTTATTTCATTCCGCGATCTAGAGATAATTCAAAATACTGTCATGCTCATTTAGGGGGATCGTTAGAGTTGTTGCCTTAAATGGGACATAATATGTAATACTTATTTTTATTGATCCATCTCGGAATTTCACATGATTGAGAAAAGTTGTTATTGTTTTTTTACCAGGCATATCCTCTTATTTTTGAACTTAAATTATGTAATCAGTTGTAGATAGTATTCTACTACATACTTTTATTGTTTCAATAAAATGAGATTTATTAAACCTCGTATTTTACTTATTTTAAATCTAAATTTTCTATGGGCATAAATGTTGTCCGAACAGTTCCATACTTTATGAAATGGTATTAATAAGGTTTAATATCATTTTGAAGTAGTCAAATTTTCAACTAGTTTTTTGATCTTATTAAAATGTCAACTAACCTCTATTATACTGATAGTTATTGTAAAAACAGCTGAATTGCATTTAGTTTATGCTTTAAATAAAATTGTTTTGCATTCAAGCTTTACAATACTCTTCAAATTGATTGCCTTCAAATATAAGTTAGTATGAAAAGTTATAAGTAGGAAGTTTTGGGAGGGAATTATGTATCATGAGTTTTGTCCTATGGCTACAACCTAAATATATGTCAAATAAAAATCCGTTAGCGTCTTGCGTTAAATATCACGTCAGCATAAATTAATTGTTTAAAACAAAGTTTACAGATTATAGATTGTGATAATTCTCTTGTAATTGAGTTAAGGCAATTTATCTGATCACAAATCATTATGATTTTTTAAACACTATGCATTCTTTTGCACACTTTTGATCATTTCCAAATGATACCCTAAATTCAATAAATCAGTCTCCTCTATAGTTAACTAGGTTTTACTAAGCAATTTTAGTCAGTTCCCGATGTACAAACTAAGAAACTGATATCGGTCTAAATATGACGTTTGTGTCAAGGTTATTTTATAATTAGTTGAAAATTATCATCGATCACGAGTTTGAACCAATTCGTACAATTATCGATGTACTTTTAATGTATGCTTCAAGACATGTTACAATGTTTATTACTTTTTACTCGAACATGACTTGAACATTAATTGCAAATCCTTGTATCATGATTAGAATATTTGAAAACCATTAGCATAAACTATAAAATTACTTTGTCCTCTTATCAGTTCTGCATTTGTTAGTACGAAATTCATGATAAAATTTTTTGGTTAGATGATTAAAATATGCAGAATAGTGCCACCAACAGCTTGATTTTCGGAACTTTCTTTTTTCATCAATAAGTATGAGTGTAGCAATCATTACCAAGCTAACTCTATTTGTTGTTTAGCTAGGGTTGAACAATAAAGTCCAAACCCTATAACAACATAATGTAGCTTGTTCTTATCTCATAAGAGTGTATGATGAAAGAACTTAACAAAATCATAGCTGAACTCTTAAAACTTCATTAGCTAAGCGAAGCGACAATAAGCCTTATGTTGTACAAAGCATTTTATCGCTTTTGGTTATACATCCCTTCAAATTAATTTCAAGTGAAACTTAAATTACTGGTATAATAACCTATTGATAGGAGGTAAAGGGTGTGTACTTTTATGTCGAACCCAAAGGGCTTCCCCCAGCCTTTGGCAAATTAATTAATCCATTCTTCTCGAGTTATTCATATGGTTTTCGACCTTGTCGATTATTCGCTTATCTCTCTGCTGTTTTTATCACAGTGTGTATGCCGCTTACTTTGCTTATCACATATACTACCTTATTTTGTCTGACTAAGTGCTGAGTGATGCTTCATAGCATGGAGTTGACTCGCTCATCTCCACATCGCTTCTCTCTGCTTATATGCTTTTCATGCTTTTGTGTCTGCTTAAATGAACGCACGAAATAAATTTATCCAAAAAACTGCACTTTGCATCTTATTACCTACGTCTAAAAGTATGATATACGAAAATGGAAGGAAAGATTCGTTTCCTAGCATAATCGACCATTCACACAAACTGGAGTTAGATTACGGCCAGTTAAGTAGTGATCCCTACTTTGAATTCAACACAGCCACAAGGAGAAGTAGGAATGATTGTGTAAATCATAAAATGTATTATTAAAATAATTATTTTCTATGACATTAATGTTTATTAAGTTGAAAGTGTTTATTTTGTTATTTATTTAGATACTGTGGGTCCGAAGCCTGGATTAGAAAGGAAACTTGGATATGGGCTTAGCGACCATAATCCACAGAAAATCAACTTCATAGAGAAACGCTAACCAGAAAATTTCATTTCATCTATTTAATCTCTGTCCTGGAAGTTTGAAGGTCTTCACTTGGAACAGTTATGACGCCTTATGATGAAAGCCGAGTTTCTTCGAAAGTCACGAGGCCGACGCTAGTTCCGACAACAAGAGCAACAATCAACATAGGGGCATGGAATGTTCTCACAATGTGGGGGACCAGAGTGATTGTTCGAGTTGCTGCAGAAAAGAAGAGATACAACATGATGGTACTTAGAATTTGCGAAACACATTGGACGCAGGCTGGACAAAAACGATTATCTTCGGTAGAAATGCTGTTGTACTCCGACCATAGAGAAGAAAATGCTGTACACACAGGCACTTTTATTAATGCTATCAAAAGAAGTCCGAAAAACACTTATACGATGGGAAACTCATGGACCCAGGTTCATCAAAGTACCCATCAAGACTAAGAAAGAGGGGAGTACGATGAATGCCATTCAATCCTATGTGCCTATCAACGATAACAATGAAGACGATAAAGATCAATTATATGAGAGGCTGCAGTCAATCGTTGAGAAATGCCCAGCAAATGTTTTTATTATTATGATAGGAGACCTAAATCCCAAGGTAGGAATGGACGACACTAGACATGAAGACATCACGGGACGACATGGACTGGGAGAAATGAATTAAGACAGTGAGAGATTCACAAACGTATATGACTTCATCGAAATGGTTGTAGGGGGGTGGCACCACGTTTCCACACAAATGCATACACAGTGCCCCATGGGTTTCAGCAGATCACACTACCAAGAACCAAATCCATTACATCTGCACCAAAAACGATTAAGAAAAAAGAGGAGCTGAAATTCCTTCAGATTACCATCTAGTGGTGACCAAGCTTGGGCAACACGTTCTATGCCTTTCAGAATCTCCTCAAAGAATGTGAAACTACTATGCAGAAAAACTGAAAATGGATTCAAGAGGCATCAAATTCAGGATGCCACGAGGGACAGAAAAGTCACCTTCAAAAGTAATGTGTCTCTGTTGATACTGTGGTTGAGAATGAAGAAAGGAAGAGCGGGAAGACAGCAATCAGTAACAGTCTAAAAACAGCTGAGACAGACCAAAACACACAAGCAAGTGAAGAGGAGCGTTGAGCTGATAGGCGAAAATATATAAAAGACCTAGCAATGATAGCGGCAAAAGCTGCAAGTGAAGCAAACATGAAACGACTATACGACAAAACGAAGAAGCTTGCCGGAAAATACAGTAGGCCAAAACGACCAGTCAAAAACAGTCAAAACAATCCAAGTGAGGACTGGCGTCAGACAAGAGTGCTTACTCTGGTCCTTTCTGTTGCTTCTGGTGGTTGACTCGGTCATGAAGACATCAACATGTCAATGGAAGCAGGAATACAATGGACGACTAGGATGCAATTAGACGATTTAGACTTGATAGGTGATCTAACTATTCTATGACACACAAAATAAGAAGTGCATATGTAGCAACAGCCTCTGCTGCAGTAGGTCTCAACATACAAACGATACTCGTGGCAGTGAAGAAACCAGCTTCTAGCTGAAGAGGATAGGACACTCACTGTATAAAGCACCTAGCTGCCTCACAAATTAAGCACTAACTTAGAATCCTCAAGCTGAAACAAAAGATTGAAAGCAAAGAACCCACTGCACGGGAATCGGAGGCAAACTTCAAAGGAATGAATAGCACTTGGGAACGGGTGGAAAAGAGAGTCTAGGAGAGAGTAGGGTTGTGACTGGTGGTCAATGGCCGATGCTCTATTAAAGGTAACAGGATGTAGTTAGTAAGTAAGAAGCTTGTGCGGAGACAATAAAATTGGTTAACAAACTGTCCAGAGTGATTAGACTTTAGGTAGTGTCAAAACATAATATTCAGAACTCACGGCAAACATTTTATTGTAGTACACCAAATGGCAGTCCACTAGTCACTATTCTGAAATTCAATCAGTCTTCTAATAGACAATTCAATATAATTGATAAATTAGTTTCTCATCAATAATTTGGTTGACTTCATCTGTCTAAGTTCATGAACTACATTTCAGCAGGCTGGTCTTGAACCTATTCACTAACTCAGATGTAGACCATTCGCTTCTGTCCCAATGTTTATCTCGTTCATCTCGTATGTCAAGAATTTTGAGGTTCTTGATCTAGCTAGAATTTGTCTGTGATTACTAGTAAACAGTCTCCAAAATATGAAAAAATAGACGTTTAGTGTTTGATGGGCTGTTGTGGTCTATCAATTCATGACAGGATCTATTGTCATATAAAGTTTGTAACATGAGCTTGGAAAAAACAATTTACAACCATCACCTTTTTAATTTTTGCTAATATTTTAATATGAATTGAAAAGTATGAGTTCGTATTTTATGTTTATGTAAGCGCAAAGAAACAATTATCATTATTTTAATTATTAGTGCAATTCAAAATAAAATTTCTGACTTTATTGACAGTTAACTAAAGATTAACCAATATGACACTTTGGTAAAGAAGAGAAATCAGAAAATGTTATCACATTCCATTAGTTAGAAAGCCATGTTAATGCTATACGTTGTTTTCTTCACAAAAAATTATATACTCGTGAGAAGTTATATATATATATATATATTACTAGTACAGCTACTTATTGAAATGATATTTTTTGGATGATAGCAATAATAATGACAATAAGTGGAAGTGATGCCTCTTCTGATGACAATCATGATAAATTGGGCGATATGAGTGATGATGATTTTACTTCTCTTCTGTGGTTGATGAGAATGATGACGATGATGTAGAGGAAGTGGAAGTAGAGAGCAAGAAGCTTATTCAAGGAGAACAATGACTCATACAATCAGATTTCGTAACAAATCGATTATCGTTTCCCCCGCATTCATGAAAATAAAATGAGATACAGTCATTACTTTCTAGATCATAGTAAAAATTTTGCGATGGATTCTTTATCTGACACGATCCTGTGTCCGGTGGTTGTCTACATTCAGATGGAACATTTTCAAATTCAATATCTAGATAAGAAAGAACAAGGTGAATTTTGAAAACTGTTAAGTAAAAATGACAATGTAACTACAAACAATTTCGTACTTAAGTAGGGTTTTAGATTTGAAACTTTCCATTTTGGATGGACTTGAGTTAAACAATTATTGAAAATCATGAAGCATGGAATAGTTATGTCATTCCATAACGGTACTTCACAGAAGTATGTATCCATAACGACATCGAGAATCAGAACACAGAACGTTCAGATGTTAGGGAGAACATTTAACCTTCAGACCATAATCGAAAATGTTAAATCATTACAATTACATTTTGTGTTATTATCAAAAGTGTTTAGTGTAGGATTTCTATTATAAAATGGACAACAGAGTTGAAGCGAAAATAAGATTCTTTCCACTTTTGTAAGAGCATGGAGTTTAGTAGCACTTCTTAATGAATGAAACCGAAAGTATGGGTTGTAGATTTAAGAAGTTCTTATTACTAAAGTAATTTATCAATCAATATAAATAACAAAGTCCTACAAGATAATACTTGTGGGAGCGTTAGCTTAGTGGTAAGATTCCTCCCTATGATAATTCATGGTTTCTGATCCTATAAGAAGCATAAGATGCCCAAAAGAATCCAAATATCTCTTTTGAATGATAGTTATTCAGCACAAAATCAACGTTAAAAATATACTTCCAATCGATTACTTTCAGACACTTAAGGTTATATCATTTTAAATGCTTATACACAATAAAAGCAATAAATACTGATGCAGAAGAACCTAAATTGTGGGTTCAACTTAAAAGTTGAACTGAAAACATTCTGTGTATTATGAACTCATACTCACATGTCACTATATTGTTGCATGAGAGGTTAGATATGACCTAAGTGGTATAAATTAGACGTGATATTTTCACTATACAGAATTTAAAGTCATCAACAGCATAATTTATTCATAAATATGTTTCATGATTCATTTTAGCCTTGAATGAATTTATTAAGGTAAAACGATAATCAATTTTAACAAGATATTCATTCCATGTAACTTCGTTTCTTCAATATATCTGGTTGCTTATAAATACACATCAGAGACTGTTATAAACGAAGTAAATTCAAATTATATATCTCAAATCATTTTATGCACTGAAGAAATAACCGTCAGTATACCTGGTGCCATTCTAGTGTTTCGTTTTGTGACACACACTGGTTGATCTGGTGGACATTCAGCTTCCCATGATTTAGAATGTTGTTGTTTGTAAACCTTGCATGATTGATCACCGACAAGTTCACAGGATGTAATTGATTTTGGACATTTGGCAAACTGAGAAATGGAAATAAATTTTTTTTCTGGTTAAATAAGCCATTATGGTGAAAAATATGTACACTATGTAAACTGATCTACTAGTATTTCAATTAATTATGAATAAACAATGAAAATTTGCCTGACAAAAATTGCGTATTATTGTTTCCCTACTGATTGAATAGATTTAAGATTTATTTGGTGACTGATACCAACCAGAAATAACAGTAAAACTTCCTTCAGTTAATCGTAATATGAATAAAACTGTTATTGTCATTTATTTAAAAAGCTGAACTGCGTCACAAGACAAGCCGCTACTTGGAACCCTCAAGGTCAGAGGAAAAGACGAAGGCCAAGGAACACATTACGCCAAGAAATGAGAAGAATGAACAAAAATTTGGCAGAACTGGAAAGGAAGGCGTAGGATAGAGTAGGTTGGAGAATACTGGTCGGAGGACTATGCTTCTTTTGGGGTAACAGGTGTAAGTAAGTCAGTAAGTAAGCTTTCTTCTTAGTGATCAGAGTGTTCTTGCTGAAAATCAAGGAAATAAATGCTTTCACAATGTTATGATTTTAGAACTCTAGCGGACTGAAGTTGAATAATTTTATAATGGCATAATTAGTACCAAAACGGCATGTGATATTCTGAATTTCCCCTGACTTAGAATGATGGATGACCACTCGAAAAGAAAATTACCCAGCAAGTGCTATGTTAATTCCAGTTGTTTTACATTGAATACTAGGTTGGAATGAAAAATAATTTTTAGACTTTATGGTTTCATTAAGAAACGACTATATGTTTAACAGAATCAAGAAAAAAGAGATAGTTTGAATAATGTACCAGTGTATACACTCTCTATTCATTGAGCATTAATAGAATACAATCAACTAGTGTACATTGATTCAGTGAAATAATTTATGCATAATTTATATTGACTACAAAATGAATTAGTCATTGGCATATTAACTTTCCCAACTAACATTTATATATGATGAAATGTTTAGTGTGTGGGCCAAACAAACAAAATCAAGACATAAATTATTTCCAATGGATTCTTGACTTTAGGATTATACTAATAAATTATATTTTTGAAACCATGAATCAATCAATGTTAGACCACCATTATAAACCTGGAAGCACTGGACGGCCGTTTCGTCCTGGTATGGGACTTCTCAGCTCAGTAGTCCGATGGTTAGGCGTTTGCGCATAATACCGAAAGTCCTGGGTTCGAATCCTGTGGGGTGAAGGAGTCGTAGATGCGCACTGCTGAGGAGTCCCATACTAGGGCGAAACGGCCGTCCAGTGCTTCCAGGTTTCTAATGATGGTCTAACATTGATCGATTCATGGTTTCAAAAATGTGTAACTTAACAATCTTCAAAACCCCGTAATGCTAATGAATTATTGAATACAATTCTGTAGATTAAACTAACTCGAAGCTTAACTAACTAATTGCCAAGGTATGCGTAAACTTTGTACTAACAGGTTAGCAGATTACAACAAATTTACCAAAATGAAGTCTACTCATTTCAAGTAGCTCTCTTTATTGGCTTCGAACAGATATACAAATTAAACTAAGAAAGTTTAGTGTGTGTAACAGTGCTAAAATAAAATGAAATATAGTCGGTATATAAACGGCAATTTCGTCATATTTCACTAAAGCTCCGTGATAATAAATACCCGTATTACAAACATCATATTAATAAAGGTTGAATAAAGATGAATAACTTACTAAGGTCTATAATCATGATCACTAAAATGAAACATATAATCTATATTCTGGTCTATCAGAGGACTTGGTATAGACAGGTTGATAATTAGTGGCAGCTGATTACTTGAAAGAGGTTATAATGATACGCTTACGGACCATCTCATGAATAATGATGGTGTGTGTCATATGTATAAATTTTGTCTTCTATTGGTATGCCATGACAAAAAGCTGTGAATAGTGCTATTATTTTAAAAATTATATTATAAGCTTAACTGTGCAGAAAATGTAACATGCTTCTACATACCTCACATAAATTCTGGTTATCTCGAACGCATAATTCTTCACAAGCTGTGCGGCTGTAAAACCTATTGGCATTCCCACCATATCCACGATATCCAAACCAGCGACATCTTCCATCATTCGAATCATAATACCAAGAAGATAATTCATTCGAACCAACTCCTCTATCTAAAGGCTGACTACAAGCAATGTGTCTTGGTTGACCATTTGTAGTTATAGATCTTATGGCCCAACGAACAGTAGAATGATAAACTGGACGTGCTTCCTCTTTCTTCTGTTGATCATCTAGATAGATGTTTTGTTTAAATTGTACATTATTCTCCATGGATTGATCATAATCTTTATTGTATAGCCATGGAAATTTAGCTAATCTGATACCAGCTTCATTCGGTTGATCCATGTAATATGAAGGATCCATATCTGAAGAAATTACAACTAGTTGAAATTTAAAAAAAAGAATAGTTCAATCACTTTTCAAAGTAAAATGAAAAGAGGAAGGTCAAGGAACATATTACGCCGAGAAATAGAGAAAGACATGAGAAGAATGAACAAAACTGGAAAGAACTAGAAAAGGAAGCCCAGGACAGAGTTGGTTGGAGAAAACTGGTGGGTGGCCTATGCTCCATTGGAGGTAACAGGCGTGTTAGTAAGTAAGTAAGTAAGTACGATCAACTCATAGTCATTTACGTTTTGCAACTTGGAGTATGCTTGAAGCATTGAAATGAAATTGTAGTCGGTGACCGAAGAGAAACGATGTTCATATTTTGTTAAATGATATCATCGAAAGCTGAATAAAATACTGAAAATACTTAAAAATGTTTGGCTTCCAAACGCCTTGGTTTTCATTTTTCTGGTGTAAAATAATAATGATAATAAGCATCTGTTAAGGTAATTATAATCTTTCATTGACTTTTCGATAATAATTCGTCCGTGCAAAAATCCATTAAGTCAGTAATACATCTTATGTTTTTACAATTTCGTGTTTATGTTATTTAAACACAGCTTAACAAATAATAGAGAGCAAGAAGATGTTATCGTTTTATTTGTATGCTACTCTTAGTAGTATGATGATTCATCTCAGTGTTATTAAAGTAATAGCTGGTTTATGTTTTAAATTATTCTAAATTTCTTTAATAATTATACAATTATAGTATCAACTCATAAAAAAAGTAGTTTCATCTACATTTCAAAACGTTTAATCATTCTTATTCAATAGAAAGATGGAGTGAAATCGAATTTCTGGTGTTCATACCAGTGTCTTTATCTCCACATGATGAACAAGAGTATTCAATAACTTAGCGTTGAAACTCGTTGATCGATTTCCACAAATCAAGGTGTCTACTTTGAGATGTAGACAGACAGATTCAACTAACAGTTTATGAATAAATTAAAGCACACACCTTAGATTCCACTACCGGAGATAAATCAGCATCAGTTCATACGTGAGAATATAGAGACAAGTTGATGAAAGACGAATTATTCCAATATTCATAAAAGGAATAATTATATGTGATTAATCATTGAATGTCTGAGAATCCTATTCTTTACAATTATATTGTAAATAAAAAAATATAAAAATTTGTTCCAATGTAATTAGGTAATAATTAAACCGGTACCAAATACGACTTCTGAGTTATACTCAAACTATTTATAAATTTGGAAAATATGGCCCACTGTCAAGGTATAACTGTCATATAAAAACCATTGCCTTTAAAAGTGATTTAAGTGTGGTTTTAAGAATATGATATAACAAAATCAAAACGTTATGAAACTTTGTTTAGAATCAACAAAAACTTCGAAGTTTGCTCGTTCCTCACTAGATTGATTCACAGACTGAATAGATGGTGCATTTCGATAAATGTTACCGGCATAATTTTTAAAGGCTCTTAACAAAAAATCCGAATATAATCTTAATTTTAGATGATTGAGCAAAGGTTGCTATGGATTGTTACTCGTCTTAAACACAGTTCTTATAATCTGATTATGAAATTAAAGTGGAAGAAAATTTATACTTGTACAAGGCACTACGTATTAATTCTTCAAGTTAATGCAAACACACTTATTATCTATCTGTGAAAAACTGTTTCTTTGTGGGCATACTATAGCTTGAAAAGTAGAAGGCAAGGTGAAAATTCTAGGAAAGCAAGAACTCAGTAAAGAGAGATCGTGTACGGACCAGATTGCGATGCTACAGATCATTATGAAACAGTCGATTGAATGGAACTCATTACTCTACATCTACATTCGAGATAGCACATGATAGCATGGACTGGATGTCAGTACGGAAAATTCTTTGACATTGTGGTGTACCTGAGAAAATAGTCAACATCATATGGGATTCTTATGATACACTACACTGCAAAATAGTACATATTGGACAGCTCACAGACTCATTCCAAATGAGGACTGACGTCATACAAGGGTGCTTACTCTCGTCCTTTCTGTTACTTCTGGTGGTTGACTCGGTTATAAAGACACCAGCATCTCAATGAAAGCGGGAATACGATGAACAACTAGGGTGCAAGTAGACGATTTGGACTTAATAGGTGATCTAACCATTCTATGCCACACAAAACAACAAGTGCAGATGAAGATGGCAAATGTAGCAACAGCCACTGCTGCAGTAGGTCTCAACAAACAAACAATACTCGTAACATTGAAGAAACCAGCTTCTAGTTGAGGAGGAAATTAGGAAAAAGAGCTATAGGTGGATAGGAAACTCATTGTGGAAAGCACCTAACTGCTTCACGAATTCAACTCTATCTTAGAATCCTCAAGCCGAAGAAAAAGACTGAAAGCAAAGAACCCATTGCACTGGAATCGGATGCAAACCTCAAAGAAATGAATAAGCCTTGGGAATGTGTAGAAAGCAGAGTCTAGGAGAGAGCAGGTTTGTGACTGTTTATCTGTGTCGTTACTCTGTTAATAGTAACAAGAATAATTAAATAGGTAAGTAAGTAAATTACGTTGATAAAATACGATAGCCAAGGCATATACTGTTTATTACATTTGATGAGGTGGTATAGAATTAGATAGTGTTTCTCCTTTTTTACATCATGCAGTTTACGTAATCCCTGAATATTTTATTTAAATGCTAAACAAAAACAAGTGATTTTTTCATCAGTCAAATTGAAAAATTAGTATAAATAATCATTCATTATTCATTACCTTGATATTTATTCATTTCGTCCGTTAAATCATGATCTGCATCATATAGATAATCTGGAATTTGTGACAGTTCATTATCACTTTCCATAACTTGTGGTTGATTCCCACCACCAAATGAATGAATCTCTTCTTCCGTTTGATTTTGTTGTTCATTCAATGAAATATTTGTTGGCCTATCTTTGTTCACTTCTCGATTCTGTTGTAATGTAGTTGATGGATTATATGTAGTTGAGAATGACCATTGTGTATAGTTTTCTTTATTCATGTCTGAGAACAGTGAAGCTGCAGGCACTAAATGTGCTCCAGTAATAAAATTTGTTGGGATATATTCACTAGTTGAATTAATGGGAATATGATGTACAGCAGAGAAACCATTACCATTAACATTACTAGTGTTTAGTGTTGTAGTACCATCTGTGTGTGATATAGAACCAGCTGTAGCGGTTAGTACTATTGGCTGGCGTTTCGAATACACCGTCTTCACAATTCCTTTACCTTCTAAAACAGCTATAAAAAGAATTTTTATCAAATTAAACAACATCTATTGTGTATGAGTTGTTACATAATAAGTAAGTCAATAATGTACATGTCTATGCTCAATTTAGATTCTAACATTAATCCTAAGAGTGTACGTACAAAATGTTTATCACTACTGTTGATTCTTAAGTTCAGCAGCAAAGAAACTTGACAATTATCTTACCTATAAAAAGGTCTCATTACTATTTCAATATGTAGTCAACATTTTGATCATAAACTTGACATTTTAGTGTTAAATATTGCCGGTAGACCAAACATAACAATTCTACCTAATTCTGATGGATTTTTTCTGTCAACCAAAATAGACTTCAAGTTTCCAACAAGATCTAATTCATATAGTCATTTAATGTCAGCAAAGAAATAACTTTAGTTTTTCCATGAAATTCGGATATTTCGTCAAATGTAATTTGAATCAACATTTGAGTATAAGCAACGAGGCAGTTAGGTAAAAATATTTCATTCAGTATACTGAATAAAACAAAATTGAAAATCTTTGAAATTTGAAATTATAATAATTTAATTAGACAAACAAACAAACGAAAAAATAAATTGCTTGTATTAGCTCAACAATTCTGTTAGTGGGAACACTTAGGATTATGAGAAAAGAAATTAGAGAAGGTTAACTCAATAGCTTATTGAAATAAGTATTTATGTGAAAAAAATCAATTTAATTACATCTTTAGTTTATTTCATTATTGGACTAAATATCTATCTAATTTTGTTTAAATTTTACAAAAAAGAAACATTTGTATGAAAATGACATTGATCATTAGCCGAATGATTAGTAGATAGATTTTCATTGTTCATCACTGATTTTTCTGAAAGACCCGTATCTATAAGAGTACAATTGGAAAATGAGAAGCACTTAACAGCTGTTTCATCTAGACAAATGATAACTGAGCAGTATTTAATGCCATACATTATCAAACGAGCTGTAAATTATGCAAATAGATAGTTACATTTTCTATGACATTATTTCATTGATATTAGTGAACTGCTAAACAGGAACTAAAAACATATGAGTGATGCTTAGTAAACCATGAAATAATTAAACTAACCGATCAGATCTTACTGTTGATCATAAATGTGGGATCTACAAGAAATGCACCTTAAAATTAATGGTATTTTAAATCATATTGCATTATGATTGCTTTATTGATAAAAAAATATTTAGCAGATAAATGTTACGCTAAGTAACTTACCATAACCTTCGGAAAATTGAATCAACAGTAAGCAGAGAAAATTCATGATCTAAAAGAAACAGAACCACATAAAAAATAGTTCTTTGAAACATTTAAGATCGAATAACATTGTGAAATAATGACATATATTGCTTATTGTTTTCATAGTATATATACTGTACGATTAATTGCCTTGCAGTGTGAATGATCTTCAAATTAAAAGAATGATTATATAACCAGCATACTCTAGTTGCAATGGAATCATTGAAACTATCGATCGGATTATTGTTCAACATTCTGACATTCAGTAATTTGTAAATCAGTAAACAAGGTGAAATTAATTATCATTATGGGGTTGTGGAAATTGTTAAGTTTCATTAAAATCATAAATCGATCAGTGTTTAACCACTTTAAGAAACCTAGAAGCACTGAACCACTGTTTTGTCTCAGTATAGGACTCATTAGTAGTACGAATCTACGATCCTCGCTTGCGGGAAACGAACCCGGGACCTTCGGTTTCGTGCGCACACCCTTAACCTCTGAAGTAGCATCCAACGATATTATTATCTAACTTCAATCAATCTACGATATTGCTTGACCGAAATTAATCTAGTCATAGTCAAATTTGGCAATCTGTGTTTGAACAATCAACTTTTGAAAATTTCCAAACTTATAAAATTCTAGTTAAAATAATAGGATAGTTTGAAACAATTATCAAAACTACTGAAAAATAATTCTAAGATTAGTAATCAACAGACTGTTTATCAGAATTAATCAAACTGGTTGTTTCTATGGAAATCATTTATATTATTATCATTATTATTCTTCCGATATCAGGTACGGTCAAACTGATGACATCATAACCCATATTCTACACCTTATATACTATGTACTGACTTATTTTTGAGGATTCTCACTGTGTAACTTTGTCTGGAACAATATTTTAGGATAAACACAAACTTTATTGTTTTAACCTCTTAAAAAAAGTAAATTCAGACTATCATTTCAGAGACAGAAATATGTTGTTACTTATTTTATACAAAAGCGATACAGTTTAACTATTTTTCCAGATCAGATGTATTTCGATTGCAAACATTAACGAAAGTTTTATGATGAGGCAATAAAAATTGGCCAAATAAAATAGCAGGTTTTTCCTAACCTTTCATACTTTTAGATTAGGTGAAAGTTTGAAATGTAGTAAAATTCACTGAAAAGTATCTTTGTATGATGATGTTTTAAATACAATTTATGCAAAGACATGTGTATTGATTTCACTTTTCAGTCAATCAATAATTAGTGTTTGTATTGAGATGATTCACGTATGTTTTTCCCCAAAAGGTGAATACAACACGAATATGTATTAATTAATGCATATGTTTTTATGTTGCATACTTTTAAAAACCTACATGGTAAATGACAACTTATTTTATCGATTTTTGAATAACACCGTGAAATAACATTGAGGTCAAATGTCTGCAGGATTGCCAACAATGTAAGGGCAAATAAAAAAAGTTTATTATGTACGTAAATTTTAAAATATACAACAGAATAATTTAAGATTGCCAAATAAGTACTGAATTTATCTTAACTTGAAATGGCAGACTTACTGTAATTAGCAGATATTATTGATAAGTAACATCTATTGAGGAACATGATGAACATTGACTTAAGACTGTGGATATTATAACTTTACTCATGAATATGATTCTCGATAAGAATAGTTTGTGTGAAAATGGGCCTTTGTGCAATGATTAAAGATTCGTCAACTGACTGACCTTAAGAGTATATTTGTGACTTCTCAAATAAGAGATGTATATAAATGATTTAAAAAAGGACTGTTGTAAGGGAAAGCTAGTTTAGTCTTTCATCAAGTAAACTCAACCTTCTTATTAATATAATGATACTAATGTGAAGTTGTGATTTCATTTTACTGCACCTCATGACAGCAAACAAATACTTTTGATTTAAGTTAGTTATTGTTTACAGTACAGTACAAATCTATGACAAAATAAGCGCATTATATGTTCAAAGTTTTTGATAACCCAGTCTAGTAACATCCTAGAAATAACTACTTAAAAGGAATATGTATTATGGTGACGGTATTATACAAAACTCACAAAAATGTATATAATTAATTAACTTACCAATTTCACTTGATTTATCTTCATTTTATGAGATAAAATAACAGTCAGTGAAATCGGAACAAAAGTTTTCAGAAGTGGTGTCTAAAAATAAAAAGATATTTGTAAAATGAATATAAGACGAAATCATAATATTAACCTCATTCAGTTCCTATGGTTAGCTGGTTAGTTATAAAAAGCTTAAGTTCGTTTAAATGAGTTTCAGAACTATTTCCCTGTTAGGTGTTTTGGACTTAAGTCACATGAATCTCAGAACCAAAGTTTTGTACTATTTGAGGCTCTTCAACTAGGCCTGCCTGCCTGTAGTGTCACACAAGCCACAGTTTCAGATCTTACCACTAAACCATTCCGGCTGTGACTGTTGAAAGTTTTGAAATCGATCGGTCAACGAGTAGTGGTGATCAGTGATATTAAGCCATGGTATAATGCAACTTGATTGATGGAACTCTTTCCGCACAATACCGAAGGTCCCGGGTTTGAATCATGCAAGGTGAAGGAGTCGTGGATGCGCTTTGCTGATGAGTCCCATACCAGGACGAAATGGCTGTCCAGTGCTTCACGGTTTCTAATGATGGTCTAACAGTGATTGATTGATGATTTCAAATGTGTAAAAAATTTGAGAATATATAAATATTGACTGCTATTGCTTAGTGGCAACATTTTGAGTAAGAAGTAACATGTTCACGAGGAAAGTTTCAAAACTAGCTGATTTTGAAAAATCTAAAATTGTAGCTAATTAAAATATTTGTCTGTACTTACAAGTTCTGTAACCGAATTAAACTAAACATTTTCTCATTGAAAACTTTTAAAACTGGATAATATTAAAAAGTATTCGAGCATATATGCATTAGGCTTATATGTAAAGTAACACAAAGATTGTTTCGGTTCAAATCAGCCATATGCATTTTACATTGACATATTAAGAAATAATGTCATTTGGTGTTAGATTTATGGTACACTGTCACCGAAACTGACTGAATGAATGATATCAGTGTTTTGTCAACGGGATAACTTGTGTGACTAATAATCAACTAAAAATACAAATTCAAAGAATCATATTTTAATACATGACCTTAAGTTCCGATCATTGTCTTGACTAATTTAGCAGATAATAATTATGTATGTGAATAAGAAAATGCGTTTTAGAATAACACCAGTATAAATTTATTTAGTTTCTTAAACAAAATTAGAAACAGGTTGAACACTCATAAATATAACATTAAGATAGTTTTTGTGTGTTGTGTATTTGAAGTGATATTATTTGATTAGTCGTCTAATTCATTAATACTGCATGTTTATAGTAAACCATAACAAAATGAAAGCAATTTTAACAATGACATGTATTGTCTAATATGTGTATTTAGTTTCAAAAAATGGCATAAAATAGTAATAATAATAATAATAACAGTAATAGTGTTATACTTTAGCAATGACATTCAACTAACTCTGGATATATATTAATGGTGCTAGAATATTAGGCATGACAATTATTTGATTTATCAAGAAATACACTGTAACCAAATATGATTTTTTTTCAATAACTACAATCACATTACACTTCGTTGAATAATTTTATGAGGACAATAATTTACGCATAGAATCCCTAAGTTTACAATAAACTACCTACCAGGTTACAATTTTGACTGTAATAGATGTATGTGATGTGATGAAGTAATTGCAACAAATGCAAGTTCTTCTTTATGTTGAATTTATTGGGTTATAACCTAATTAAATACTCAAAGAGAGGGCTTAGTTAAAAATTCAAACCTGAACTTGTGAGCATAAAGAACAGTGTGTAGACTGAGTAAGTAATGTCTATTTAATTATTAAATATGTTTCTGGAACTAATGTGTGTAACCTTGGTTATAATCTTCATTACATGCACTACCCGCAACCATAATCAAGTTACTTGCATGTGGAGATTTCGTATCACTGAGTGAGGCCTCATTTAAAGCAAAATACGATAACTATTCACTCTGTAAGTTTCATCACGTTCCAGTCCGAGCTTTAGAAAAAAAATATCCCATGAAATCTTGTTCTTATACGATCAAAGTATTCATTGCTGAAATGTACCAATCAACAAATGCTTTTTGCAGTTATCCAACTATCGTTTCATGATAAAAAATTATCTTCATATAACTTTACATCTCAAATATAATGTTTAGCTACGGTTGAAATATCGAAATATCAGTTTCATACTTTGAAACCTAGCCTACTGTAGTGTATTAGCGTTTAAAAACTACTTACTTCAAGCTTCTTTTGCTCAAGTAATGTTATGGATTGAAGATTCAAACTTTTTCCCGCATTAAAAAAGCTACTGAATAACTTTCGTAGTTCTAAAAGATCTATGCTGATATTTTTTGGCTAGAAGCCAATAAAAATTGCATTTTTTGTTGTTCTTAAAAAAAATGATTTAATTTATTGCTTGTTTACCGTGAATCCATACTGTTAATTACATGTAAGAATAAATATTCCGTTTATGCGTTTTTATTTCTTCGCTAAAATAAGTATATTTTCGCTTTTGGACAGAAATGAAATATTAGTTTACTTTATGACACTTAGAGTTGAATGCAGTTAAACAATGAAACAAGAAGATTAAACAAATTATGGACTATTTTGTTTTACTCTGACAGTAAGTTTCGGCAATTTTTAAACAGTTTAAAAATGATAATGCATATTCGTATATAAATATATGTATTTTTTATCAAAGTATTCTCTTTAGATTTGAAAAAATAAACGGTCTGGTAAGTTAGCAAATCGATTTAACAGATATCCTGCTTTAAAAAATCAATCAAAACAGTATCTTTTTGATATAGCTTGTAAGTAGCTAACTTTATTAAAACGTTTGATGGTTTAACTGACATCGTTCTTCAATGAAAAAACAACTTATTGAAATACCATTTTCAACCATTTTAAATCGCTCTAATATTTCTTTTCTTCACCACACATTTTAATATGACACTATGATTATTCAACTGAAGAAGAGATTTTGAAAAATACCGATTTTTAACCCGTAGGGTTAACATTCTTCATTCAGTGTTTAATAAAAGTGTGATTTCTACCAGTGTTGGGAATTTTTCCGTTCATAAAATATGTTATTATTGCATATGTAGGTGTAGAGCGTTGTTTGAAATAAATTTGCCATCATAAAAATATAATTTCAAAGAACATAAAAACAAATAATTTAGAGACTGAATTGGGTTCAATCTAGGGAAATTTGCAATATTTAGGAATAGTTATTGGTGAGACTATACACTATTAGGGTTGATACATAACAATGGATATTTATAGGACAGGAGACTGTAAATCAACTTTTGAACGTTGTGATTGATACAGACTAAAAAACAATTGAATATTGAGTCAAGTATTATTGGTAGATTTGTATAAAGTAATGAATTCGTGTTTCATAAGTGATGTGATGAAAGATTATTTTCAACTGTTTTTCTAATATGTGAAAGGTTACAATGATTTCTTGATCAGCTCTACTAATCTGAAATGACAATTATTTCTCATTTTATCAGATCAAGGTTACAAACTGATATTCATTAAATTTAGTAGTTCATAAAATATTTCCGAAACATCTAAAATATTTACAAGCATCTGTAATATCTCTTTGTTGAAAATAGATGAAAAATTTATATTCGACCTTATTATAATTTACATTCAAACGTTTCAAAATCTAACAATATAAATTGGTTTATTCAGTCTTCATTTATACTTATATATATATATATATATATACGTATATACTAACATCGTGTACAGGTTCTACTCTACTGATTTATTTTATTATTTATCTATTATTTATTATTTATTATCTAATTTAAAGGCCTAATTTTTCAACAAAACTAAAAACGGTGGTTAGTGAATAGAAAAAAAATGGAATCGATAAATATGTAAAAGGAGTTAAAAAAAATCGCCTTATTGGATTAGGAAAATATTGTGTAAAAGGTCGGTAAATTTTAACACCAGTGTAGTTAGTTTTGATTTCTGTAGTTTAAATAGTTACAATCACTGATTTCTATAACTTACTTAGCTGTAAGCAGGAAACCTTAAATTTTTTGTTAAATGATTGACTAAGATACTCTCAGTGATTTCATAGAAAAACTCCATTTGTTACAGTGCTAATTCATATCTCTCTTTATAATTTAGGAATACAATTGACAACACGGTAAAAAATGTCGCCTATAAAACTGTCAATTTTAAACCAAAACATAAATAAACTGTTGAATAACAAACAGGAATTTCACTCATAATATAGAGTAGTAACATATTAACTGTCTCACAGATTTGGCGATTACAGCGTAGTGGAATTATTAACACCGTCTTATATAGTATGGCTTTCTAGGTTATTACACCAGTAGTTATATAAATCTCTTACACTCTATATAGTAAAAATGCTTTCATGCAGAAAACTACAAAGAGCAGTTAGTTACAATATTCAAGAATTTTATAGGTTATTCAAAAAAACAATTCAGAGTCCTCTTTATCAATATGTGTATTGGAACTTTATGAAACAGTATTATGGTTAATCAGCTGCCGATAACATTGTCATTGTGTAATGACATCAGCTTCTGTGTACCTTAAAATAGACAATTTTTTTTACATCTGTCTATAGTCATTACAAAAAAATTTCTTTATCGAAATTCCTATGTGGATCAAAAACTGAATTTCAAAGGATGCACATTCTTTAGTAAGATTAAAACTGAAAATATTTGACAGTTTAAGGATACTAGCCACAATGTAAATCGAATACTTCAGTGACACTGTTGTCCGACTGACTCTTTGTCAAATATTTCACAAATTTTTTTCGTTAAACTAACAGCTTTAATATATATTTTTCTTATGTATAAGTATAAGATTTATCAACCATTACATAATAATAACAGTCTGTAAGAAACACTAACAACTTTAAAATAGTGTGTAAGATACTCACCTAATTAACATGAAATTGTTTGTTTTTATAGTTGTAACGACTTCTAATCGTGTTGTTTGTAATCCATTTATTTCTTATTTCAAAAAGATAAATTGAACAATTTTTTTTTTCAATCAAAGGTACAGACTAAAAATCCACAGTCACCTTAAACTCTCACATTATATATGGATAGATGGATGTACCCTTAGTTTATGTGTGTCTATGGGCATTATAACCATATTTTGTATTGGGCAATTCTCTGTTAACCATTCATGCACAGTTTACCGTAAAACTACCAGGTATATTGAAATACAAACTTAGCAAGCTGACACGTGATGCACATTTTAACCGAGAGGCTTAGTAAACATTGGTCTATATTGGATGACCCATAAATCACTGTATGTATGTGTGGCAGCCAAATGGAATATTTTTTTTACCGGACACACTGAATGAATGATGTGCCATGTATTTATAGATATTTTTTTTCAACACTATTTAGCAGATGGAATTTTTAACCTTTACACTAAGGTTACTTTTTATTTTCAAGAGAGAAAAAACTTATTATCAGGGCATAGAAATAGATTTAACAATATTTAAAATAACAACTGTTAAATATATAATTTTTCACAATTGCCTATTAACTATGTAGTTCGACTAAAGATCCACAAATTTATTTGTGATTCCGAATGAACCGTAATGAATGCAGAGAATTTTATTTTAAATCACAACAGGTCATGTCTATCGAAGGCTGATGTAAGTTAGAGTAATGCTGAACAACACTAAAAAATGATCAATATACCATGTATAAGTAATCTTTTTGGATACTGTAATAACAGAATAAAAATCATTTGAACTATATTTTAGTACAAAATATTTTGAGTAATCTGATCACATATATACCAGTTAAAAAAACATTCATATATACAAAAAATATAAAAGGTCGACTAGATAGATGAAAAGTAAGCGGAAACAAAGAAGATGAGGACTATACTGTAAAGAAAAATTTGTAACTAACCCCTCTGAATAATAATAAAACAATATGATCAAAGTAGGTTTTCTAGTGAAAACACATTGTTTTTATTCTTTAAAGAGGGTTTGAATTTGCTTTAAATAGAGTTGTGAAGATTAGTGTTTCTTTTTTACACACTTGAAATCATCAATCAATCATTGTTAGACTACCATTAGAAACCTGGAAGCACTGAACGACCGTTTAGTCCTGGTATGGGACTTATCAGCAGTGCGCATCCACGACTCCTGCAACCCGCAGGATTCGAGCCCAGGACCTTCGGTATTGTGCGCGAACGCCTAACCATCGGACCACTGGGCCAGCATCTAACGGTGTTAATGTCTAACTCTGACTGATCTACAGATTTTGCGCGACCTCACCCATTTGTCTTTGGCAGTTACTGCCTACACCCGACAGAGTTGAACCCCACTGGTCACGTCTACTCACTAGAACTCCGAGAATTTCCTCACGAAGCTAGTCACTAGTAAGCACATATTACGAGATTTTCAATTAGAGTTGTGGAATAGTGTTTAACACATTCGAAATCATAAGCTTTCAATAATTCTTTTACAAAATCATAAAACACGAATTAAAATCAAACTTATACCTTATTTCACAACTATGTGTTTAGCAACAAAGGAAGAAGATCAGTGTTGATCGCCAGCTCTTATTGAGTCCGTGTTTTTTTTCCAACCAATTTGGTAGATGTTTGTATAACTTAATTTTCAAATTATGCATTCTGTTTCCTGTGTATTTATGGCTACACGCACATGTAAATTGATAAACAAAGTTGAATATGACGTTAGTGTTACATGTGGTTTAGTTTTTCAGTAAGACAAGAATTTTGTTTTCTCAATAAAAATCACCTTCCTTGCGTAGTACATTTTACTAACAACTGAAGTGAACCGTTATTTCGAATTGTATTGTAATAATATTTCACTTTAAGACAAAAGTATAAAATCAAGCGAAAGATGATGAATGACTCTTACAATTCATAATTTATATATAGGAGAGTATTTCAAGGTCATAATATGTAAATCGCTTACTTATATTCACAGTAAGTATAGAATTTCATAGATTTTGAAGTTTAATAATATCTTAGGAAAGTTTCATCAAATCGGCAACGTTCTGTGTTGTGACGTGTTTTATTTACATTTTTAAATATTCAGCTGTAACTAGTATACCGAGTGGTAATTAAATTATGCTAAAGGAAAATTTCCAACAAAAAATTAGTCACAGCTGAGATTATTTGGGTTCGTTGAAATTAGTCCTTAATTCAATGATTCATCATTGAAATTCTCCACTCAAAATGTAAAATAATGTACAGTATAGAAGAATAATTTAACCTATAGTAAAGTTAATCATTCTTTTAAACATGTACACAAAAGATTGCCTTTTTATTTTTATAAATGAACTAAATAAATGTTACTGTCAAATGAGGATAATTGTACATAATGAAAACAAACATTATGGAACTTATTGTAGCACACACATTTATCTATAAACTAGTCTTTCAAATTACTACAATGGAATGCAATTTTACTTAAATTTGTGTTTTCGTTGAATGTAAGAAATTAACTCACTAATGTATAGTGAAGAAAAAAATAACAACAACTGTCTTTTTTTTTTCTTTACTGGAATTCGAAATTTTATTTGAAAAAAATACATTTATTTGCGTCACTTCAATGCTTCATTGTATTGTTCTGCTTGGAATGTGCATTGTACAAGAAATCACATTCTTAGCAGTATTGGTGCATGTGTCTTAGTTAGTTGTGTGTGTGTGTGTATGTTCACCGGCCGGTAGAAAAGCTACAGCAATTTTGAATCGAAATCATGGATAATATATTCTAACTATTTTTCTACACTTAATTTAGCGTTTTCAGCGTATACTTAGGAAGTTAACTTTTCAACAGTATGATCTATCAGAAAAATGTTTACGTGACGTATATAATTTTAGGAAAAGCATAATTTATATTGCGAATTAAGGTGTTATGACGATTAATACATATAAGATTGCTGCTGCTATCCATGTAGCCTTTAGGAATTAACTAACTGTCACTGATGAAATAAGGTTAGCGAATTTGTTCACCGTTTATATCTTGATTACTGTACAAATGGAATATCTTTGGGATAAATGTTCAGGTCAATCTTTCGAAATACATTGATAGGATATTAGAAACAAAGAAGCCATTTTATAAAACGTTAACATGAAATTTTGAGTGAGAACAAGGGAAAATGGTTCATTTTGTGCAAACCTAACATAAAAAAATTTAAGAGTACACTTGAATAAAATAAAATACATTGTCTAGATGTAATGTAAATAACATTTTAACGCCTAGAACTGATATGAAGAAATAATTTTTTCTGTCACAACCGCATTCACATCTTAATGATGGTAAAACATGGTTCATCTAGGGTTTTCAACTGATATTTCAGTGGAAGTCAACGCCGATCAGCGAAGAATACATTCTTCGCGATGATATCGTTTACTTAGGCTATATAATAGTATTGACAGTTAATTTACAAAAAAGTTTGTTGAAAAATGGGATGATGATTACATATTATCATGTGTCAAAGAAAGTTGTTTGATAATCTAGAATTGAAGAGTGATAGTAAGATGAATTCGAATCTGCAAAGAATAATTGTTCATCTAACGAGAATGAGAAAGGTGAAATATAAGTCAAAAACAAGTATATGATGATAACGAATAATTGAAACCAAGATCAGGAACATTTGGAGGATGCAAATAAAATCAAATTGCAGTTTATGAAAATTAAGTATTAGGGTCATGGAGCAATCATGACTTCTTACACTTGTCTCTTTTGCTCACAGACCTCAAGTTTTAGAAGATGGATTGTCAACGCGTCTGTAGTTTATAAGCTAATGATTTTCACTTTTCTGCAACCGAGTCGTTTGATAGCATATTTAAATTTTAAAAGGCTTATCGGATTGATCAGAGTCGACAAGATGTTCTAATATTGAACTGTTGATTGATTTACATTTACCTTTCGAAAGTCATTCATGATAGTTTTCGAAACCATTTGCTTTGTGTGGTCTATGTAACCTATTCCACAAAAGTAATCGGATTTATAAATTCACATAGATGTGATCGAATGTGAAATTAAGTCCATGAAGCATCAATACGTATTTGATTGTTGATTAAAATTTTAAATTAATGATTTTACCGGTAATTATTGAACAAACACAAAGTATTTCAGCATTTCTACAAGTGAAATTTTCTCTTTATATTTAAACGAAATCTTCATTCTCTCTGTGTATTTAAAAGTTATCTTTACTCATGTCATTAATTGAAACTTTGATCAAACTAAAACAATTTTCTCTGTGAAGTCAAACATATCCTCTGTAATCATCAGTTAATTTACAATCCATGATCTTTGATTACGTTTTTAAAAATTAAGCTCTATAATTATACGCATGACGTTTATACACATGAAAAGAATGATTACGTTTTATTTTGAGGACATAGTTGACGAATAAACATGAAATAGGAAATTGTTTCACAGCATATATTTAAAAGTAATCTTAAATTTATCACCATACAGATTAGATTAAAGAAATGTGATTTCGATTTAGTTGTGTTTAAAATGCAACAGAAATTACCGAAAAAGACAAATTTAGATTATTGCTTTTCCTATTCAGCCTGTAATCATGAATTTATTACATCTAAAGAGTAAGGTCATTTATAAGTTTATTTGAAGATTAAAAAACCAGAACTATCATCTGCTAGATGAAAACAAACACCGACTGTATGTTGTTTAATAAAAAACGTAATACAGTTATAACGGAGCACAGTGTTCATGCTATAAATGAGATCGAACAACATTGTCATCATCATTCGAATAAACCGAAACTTATCCTCATAATTACATTTATTTCTTAAATTCAAATTCATAATAATAATAATAAATAAATCTGTTGAAAAGAAGGTCTATATATTTATTTTTTTCGAAATCTAAAATGGGATAATTTAAAAAGACCAACAATAAAAATCGGACAAAACTAAGGAATATGCAGTGGTTTGAAACATTCATCTTGTGTTGCCAAACTTTCTGTTTGTGGTTATCATCCCCTTGTGTGCATTATTCATACATATGTTGTTCTTAGTAGACTCTGAGGCATTTATAACTGTACAGAGCTATTGCATTATTTCAATCAACTTGACTGTCTAC